TACTCACTGCTTTCATCACTCGTTTGAAACCATTGAAAAGTGTTTTTAAAAGGATTTTACTGAACTGAGATGTTTTTACGAGTTTTACTGCTTTACTACATTGTTCTGGACTTATACCGTTTTGCTGTAGCATCATGCTGTGGTTTATGTGTTTTCTTACTGCTCAGATGCCTTTACTTTTATTACTTACTGAGTTGGCGTACTCACATTATTCCATGTACCTTGTGTGCAGATCCAGGAGCCTTGGATCGCGATAGCGAGTGTTGATATTTCTTACCAGCTGATCCTCGGAGTTGACTAGGTAACTGCTTGGCGTTCGCAACCCAGTGCTTCTCCTTCTTATCTCATTTAGTCTTGTATTAGCATTTCTTTCAGACTATATTGTCTTTATCTTATTCCTAGACGAGTGGTAGTTGCTCATGACTGTTGACACCCCGATGTCGGGCTGTATTCTTTTTTCTGCATTGTCTATCTCGACTTATATTATGGGATTTTCAAGTTATTATTGACTTTAAATGTCTTATAATTGTTGGATTGGTTTTGGGGCTTGTGTCGGCTGGCCTAGTTTCACGATAGGCGCCATCACGACCGGGTCCGTTTTAAGGTCGTGACAGATGTAAACTATTATACTTGTTTTATTTGTATGCTTTTGGGTTGCATGTTGTAATGTAAAATTGATTAAGTCTAGGTCTTTTGAGCTCTAATAGGCTTTCCTTGTTGTGCAACAGAAAATGCACTATCTACTAAAGACTTTCATATGTGTGGTTTGACTTTTAATTTTGGAAAGGCAGGTATTCATATTGGTTGTATGTATAAGGAAGAACTTGTTATTAATAGGGATTGGATAAGGTCAGCACAATTGATCACACAAAGCTCGCTACAGATCAAGCTCAAAAGCCAGCAACACACACAATACATGGAGGACATAATTAATAAAAGGGGAAGAGTTAATACCACAAATTAAAACAAAATACCACAACTTCAATACTCAAACAAGGTTCATTGTTACACAACACCTCCTAGCATTTGAACAACCAAAAATACACATTGAAACATAAACTAATAATAAGCAACATCTTCAAATTTTTTCTCTTCTTCAATTTGTCATCAAGTTCCATTTTATCCTTCTGTAAGCCAAGAATTAACGCTTTGATTGGCTAGAAAATTCCAGATCATACCACTGAAAAAAACCCACAAGCCACACGACTCTTAGCATGAAAATGTTAACTAAACCATTATAAATAAAATGAAATTTTATCCATAATATATCACATAACATATGATGTATGAAAGATGATTACCTTATTGTATTTGCATTAAAAAAACGTTTTCCTGGGTTAGCATTTGTCGTTGATGTTCTCAAAAAAGTAGGTTGTCCACAACCACAAAATACATTAAACCTCATCTTCTACAAATACTTGAAAGGGTGTTCCTTCTTTCAAAAAAGTTTGGGTAAGAATGAAGGATAGATAAAATGAGAAAGATAAGAAATAACTCAAATTTTTCTTATTTAGCGATCTTAATTTTTACCGCTAAATAGAAAACCAAAAATATTTTCATATATTTCGAATTGATCAAATCTATTTTGAAGTGAAAAAAATAGCCTTGTCTACTATGTATAAAGTAATCAACTCCAAAGGACTCTTCGAAAGATTTTGAGATTTTATTATCAACATTCTCATCAAATTATTACTTTCTATATATTGTATGTTTCTTACGAAGTTCTAGTTCAATATTTATTTTAAGTGTAATTTTCGTGATAGAAATCATAGCACTTGTAAATCCTTCTTCTTTATACTGTTAAAGAAATTAATTTTTTTTTTACATTTCACAGAACTTTTTTTTAAACTTATACATAGCATATTAGGTATAACAAAAAAAGAGATCCCATAAATATGGGGCTTAAAAGCTAAAGCTGTTGTTTTACTTGCTTTGTGGAAGGGCCACCCTAGATAAGAGAATTACTTTTTTTATAAAATAAGAAAAGCATGCGAAGATGACCCGATAGACCTTGTTGAGCATGGTTTTAACACTTTGAAGAGACACGTGTCGTGATAGTGACGACAAGACGGCTACAGAATTCATAGCCAGTCTTCCTTTCTTTTTATTCTTAGATATTAGTCTTCATCAGCCTACTTCATTAGTATTCCCTCCGTTTGGCTTTTAGAGAGATGACTAATTTTAAAATTTAAAGAAGGTCGTATTATATTAGTGAAGAATTTATGATTTTGATTAATTTGTAAACTAAATATAGTAAATAATTAAATAATGCTAAAAATTATGGTTAACAAATTTAGACAATGAACTAAGCATTTATATTGGTTTGTCTTTTAAAAGTACTATATCAATTATTATAACATATAAATTATTTTATAACAAGCAAATCTATCTATATAGAATAGGAGAAGCAAAACCACTACATTAAGACAAGTGTCTTAACCACAAAAAGCCAAGTGGCATTGTTAAGACAAAATAAACTACTTTTCTAACTAACTTTTTATTGAATTTTAAATTTTGAATTAATTGGTTACACTACTTGAATTAATAAATATAGATATTATAATTATCAATAAAAAATAAAAATACAAAAAAATATTCTACTCATTCAAATAGGAGTTTTAAAATTATTTTAAAATAAAAAACAAAAATAACAAAAAATAAATAATAGGAATTTCAAAAAAACATATTGTACAGATAAGGTTGTCTAACTGAAATCATAATAGATATTGAATAAAAATAACATTAATGTAAATTTATATGTAGATAATATCAATAGTTAAAGCTAAAATTTAATATATCATATTGAAAATAAAATAAAAGTAGTTCAAAATTATTATTTGAATTATAGGTAAAACACTAAATAAAATATTAATTAAAAATATTATAGTAAAAAAATGCATAACAGAGGATGATAGAGATTGTTTGAGTATATTTATGATTTTGATTAATTTGTAAAATAAATATAGTAAATAATTAAATAATGCTAAAAATTATGGTTAACAAATTTAGACAATGAACTAAGCATTTATATTGGTTTGTCTTTTAAAAGTACTATATTAATTATTATAACATATAAATTATTTTATAACAAGTAAAATCTTAAAATTGACCGCGCATCGCGCGGGTGCCTACACTAGTAGCAAAGAATTTAGAAAGCACTGAAGGTATGCATCAAGCATGATACTAGTGCAATATTCTGGAGAGAAAGCCTACATTAAGGCTGGCATGTGGGACCAGTTAGGCCCGGGACCGGCCCAGGCCCACGAGCCCATTAGGGTAGTAGGCCTAAAACCGGGCCTAACCCGGTTTAAAGCCCCGGGGACCAGGGGGTGGGCCTGCTAAGTGGGCCGGTTCTTTGAAGAAGCTCGTGAGGACAGGACCGTTTGGGCCCGGGACCAGGTGCTAAGTGGGCCAGTACCGGTCCTAACCGGGCTCAAACGTGCCCAACGGCTATTTTTTTAAAAAAAAATTCCAAAAAGTTTTCTAACCGTTGCAACATTTAAAATATGGCAGTTGGCCTGCAAAAATAGCCGTTTGGGCTTTGTAAAATAGCCACTTTAACCCTACCCCCCCTCCCCCCCAACTTTGTTTTAACTCCAAACTTTTTATAATTACACTTTTTCCCTATTTTCAACTATAAATACCCCTCATTCTTTCATTTTTCTCACAAAATCATCAATCTCTGTCAATCTCTCTCTAGTTTTCTTCTATAATTGGTTACTTTATTGTTGCAATTTGTGTGAAAAATTGTGAAGTTGGTGAATTGAAGTATTCAAGTCTTCAACGATAATTAATTTTCAACAAGTTGTTCGTCAATTCGGTAAACTCGTTCCAACTCTTTAGTTTTAATATTATAGTTTTATTTGTTTTATTTACTTTGTATAATTATAATTAAGATGGCCTATTCCTTAAAAATATATTTAGTAAAAATAAGGAAAAATTCAAGAGTGGTGAATCTAGTGGCCAATCTATTCCTCCTCTAATTCCCCGAGCTCCCCTACCCAAACCCCATACCCGCCCTCCACCTGCTCCTATTCTTGATAGTGATAATACTTTATTACAATTTACTGAGAGTCAATATGTGCATAATGTTGGAGGTGGTGTACACTTGGATCATGAATATATGAATTCTCTTTATGGTAATCCAACTATTGATGAAGAAGATGAGCAGGAAATAGATTTGGATGAAACGCAACCGGATGACGATACACCCACTAGTCCTGTTGCTGAAGTTAACCCAACTAATCCAAATGATGCCTCGTCTGACCCCCCTGTTACTATCCTTACTTTTTCTAGATAACCTTCTAAACGGGCCGAAACATCTCTTGTTTGGCCATTTTTTATTCAAATAAGAGAAAAAAATAAAGCTAAATGTAAAACTTGTGGCAAAGAGTTAGCTTTTAACTATGTTACTCGGGGGTAGGGGGGGGGGGTAAGGAANTATCAATAAAAAATAAAAATACAAAAAAATATTCTACTCATTCAAATAGGAGTTTTAAAATTATTTTACAATAAAAAACAAAAATAACAAAAAATAAATTATAAGAATTTCAAAAAAACATATTGTACAGATAAGGCTGTCTAACTGAAATCATAATAGATATTGAATAAAAATAACATTAATGTAAATTTATATGTAGATAATATCAATAGTTAAAGCTAAAATTTAATATATCATATTGAAAACAAAATAAAAGTAGTTCAAAATTATTATTTGACTTATGGGTAAAACACTAAATAAAATATTAATTAAAAATATTATAGTAAAAAAATGCATAAGAGGATGATAGAGATTGTTTGAGTATATTTATGATTTTGATTAATTTGTAAAATAAATATAGTAAATAATTAAATAATGCTAAAAATTATGGTTAACAAATTTAGATAATGAAGTAAGCATTTATATTGATTTGACTTTTAAAAGTACTATATTAATTATTATAACATATAAATTATTTTATAACAATCAAATCCTTAAAATTGACGGCGCACCGAGTAGCTATGCTAGTTTAAAGAAGGTCGTATTATATTAGTGAAGAAAACCTTTGTGACTCGCTATCGGTTTTGACCATGGCTGCGGCATCGACCAGCTTTCATATTCGCCGGAGATTCCACTACAACAGCAACCTCCTTCGACGACGGGAGAACTCGTTTCCCGAACGGGTTAAAGCTTCCCAAGCGCGGATCATAATCACAGCTTCCATGAGAGCTCGACGTCCTCAGAACGTCCCCGGAGATTTCTTCGTCGGTAATCTTTGTTTTCAGTTTTTATTTCACCTTTGCGTAACTAGTAAAGTTCAGGTAAGGTGGTTGGAACAGTAAGGATCCAAAGCAAACTGAACTTTATTGATAGAGTAAAATTAGAACGATTACCATGGGAATTAACAACTGAAACATAAAGGAAAAACAACTGGAAACACTTAGGATAAGAAGGGGATGAGAATAGTGGAATAATTGCAGATATGAGAATTCAGAAAGAGTCTACTCATTGCCTACTATTTCCTTCTGATTTCTGCATATTTAAACTATCCTAACAACCTGCCGAGCCCTTCACGTGATCAGCCAATACGCACAACAAAATCTGTTAGCTTCTTGGGCGTTTTCCTCACCCGTAAACTTCTTCTCAAAGTTTTGCTTCGTCTTTCCACGTTGGCATCCGTCTCTATATCCTCAATTTCCACCTCAGCATCTGGGCTCTTAACATTAGCCCCACCTGAAATGAGAACCTTGTCCTCAAGGTTCAAAGTTGGTTGGGCCAATTCGTGAGAAAAATCAGTTAACTGCAGGGGTGTGATCTGGTTATCCGGCTACCTGATACACCCTTTGAGCATCGAAACGTGGAAGACGGGGTGAATTTTTTGCGCCATCAGGTAACTCCAGCTTATAAGCAACATACCCAACCTTTTTGAGCACCTTAAAAGGACCAAAAAAACCTGCGTCCCAATTTGTGGTGAGGCTGTCCACGGACTGAATGTTGGCGATAAGGTTTGAGCTTAACATAGACCCAATCCCCAACCTGGAAGTGGTCTCTGAGCGGCGCTTGTCAGCCTGGTTTTTCATACGCTTCTGAGCCTTGGCTAAATTCCATTTCAACAAATCCAGCACCTCATCCCTTTGCAGTAAAAATTTTTCCACCAGGTCACTTGAGCTGTCACCCATAACATAACGAGTGATAGCAGGAGGCTTCCTGCCATAAAGAGTCTCAAACAGAGTCATGCCAGCAGGAGTTTGCAAGGATGTATTATACCAAAACTCGGCCCACGAAAGCATAGCTACCCAATCCTTAGGCGTATCTGCAACAAAACAACGCAAGTACTGCTCAATGCATTTGTTCAAAGCCTTGGGTTGTCCATCGGTTTGTGGATGGTAGGCTATACTCATAGCCAATGTAGTCCCTTGTAAACGGTGTATCTCTTGCAAAAAAGCATGAATGAAACGTGGATCCCTATCAGTAACAATGGTACGAGGGTGTCCATGTAACTGTATAACTTCTCCCACAAAGGTCGTTGCTACTGATTCAGCAGTAAAAGAGGACGGCAAGGGGATGAAATGACCATACTTGGTCAAACGATCCACCACAGTCAAGATTGTGGCTTTTCCCTTTGAACTAGGAAGGCATGTAATAAAATCCATCGCGATATCCTCAAATACCAACTCCGGAATGGGTAAGGTTGGAGTAATCCAGCGGGGTGATGGTTGAGGTCCTTCATTTGCTGGCAGATCTGGCAAGCAGACACAAACACCTTCACATCCCTTTTCATGTGCTTCCAATAAAAATTAGAAGCAAGACGATGATACGTGCGTGTTATTCCAGCGTGGCCGCCAACACTAGAAGCATGAAATTCCAGTAGTAACTGTTGGTGGAGGGAATAATCTGATGGAATAACCAATCGGCCCTTAAAAAAGAGTAACCCTTCACGGAAAGTATAATTAGGCAACAAGGCTGGATCACGAGCAAGGGTTTGTTGAAGTGCCACTAGTTCAGGATGTGTAGAGTTAAGCAGGCACAATTCAGAGACAAATATAGGAACACACCCCGTAATGGCCATGTACACAGACTTCGGGATACGGGACAAGGTATCTGCTGCACCATTGTTCTTTCACGGACGGTGTACGATGGTAAAGTCATATCCAACCAATTTACCAAGCCATTTTTGTTGTTCAGGTGTTTGAATAGTTTGGTTGGTGAGGTTCCTTCGAGCTTGCTGGTCTGTGAGTATGGTAAAGCGACGACCAAGCAAGTATTGCCGCCACTTACAAACTGCCTGAATTATGGCAAACATTTCCCGATGATAAGTTGAGGCTTATTACATACGGTTGCTCAACTTTTGGCTAAAGAAGGCCACAGGATGTCCTCCCTACGAAAGAATAGCTCCTATGCCAACCCCGGATGCATCTGTTTCCAACTGAAAAGGTTTGGTGAAATCTGGGAGAGACAACACAGGGGTGGAACTGAGATAATACTTCAACGTGTCAAAAGCAGTCTGTTTTGACTAGGTCCATTGATAAGCATCCTTGCTCAGTAATCAGTCAACGGCGCGGCAATAGAGGCATAGTGATAGATGAACCGTTTATAGTACCCTGCAAAACCCAAGAAGGTCGTGGCCATTGCTCAATTGCTGTGATTTTCAAACGGACAACCCAGCATTCGAGATCACATGACCCAAATAATCAATGGACTGCTGGCCGAACACACGCTTTGACTATTTGGCCACTAGTTTGTGTTCATGCAAAAGTTGTAAGACTAATCGAAGATGCTCCAAATGAGCAGTCCAATCGGGACTATACATGAGTATATCATCGAAAAAAAACTAGACAAACTGGCGTAGATAGGGCCAAAAAATCTAGTTCATAGTAGCTTGGAATGTGGAGGGCGCATTCGGCAACCCAAATGGCATGACCAAAAATTCATAGTGACCCTCATGAGTGCGAAACGCTGTCTTCTCAACATCCTCTGGTCTTACCCGTATCTGGTGGTAGCTGGACAGTAGGTCCAGTTTAGAAAAAAATTGCACCATGTAATTCATGAAATAGCTCATCAATGGTGGGAAGGAGAAACCTGTCACGAACAGTACTGGCGTTCAAGGCGCGATAGTCCACACAAAAGCGCCATGTACCATCCTTCTTGCGCACTAAGAGAACCGAGGACGAAAAGGGGCTGGTACTCGGCCGGATGACTACTTCCTTGAGCATTTCACTCACCAGTTGTTCCATGACATTCTTTTGAAAATATGGATAACGATAAGGCCTGACATTCACTAGTTCCGATCCTGGCAATAAATGGATTGCATGATCCTGTGGTTGAGTTGGCGGTAAACCGTGAGGTTTCTGAAACACCTCGAAAAATGAATCCAACAACTCCAATATGGCTGGTAGTGGCGCATCAGACGCCTGGGGAGGATCACTCACCAATTCCAGACGATAAAAAGAGGATATAGAGTCTGTGGCAGCCATACGGCAAAGAATGTGCAATTGCACGTATTGGGGCTCGGTGGGGGGATCTCCACGCCAACTGTAGTGATGTCCCTCACAAGTAAACTCGAATATACTAGCAGCATAATCAGTAACAATTGGGCCTAATGTAGCCAACCATGAGACGCCCAAAACCAGGTCGGAGCCATGAAGAGACAAAACATAAAAGTCTTAAGGATAAGGTACTACCCTGAATAGTAATGGGACCTCGCCGACAAACACCCTCACAGGGAAGACGTTGGCCTTTTCCTACAACTACCAAGAAATGGGGGGTCGACTCAACCTGAAGCTGAAGGAAGCGAGCAACTCGAGTCCGGATGAGGTTGTGTGTGCTCCCTCCGTCGAGCAGCACTTGATCAGGAGAACCAAAACGCAGGGAGTTGGGAGAAGCTCCGCCGGCTAAGGCATGGTAAGAGATGGCAGAATGTTCCTGAACCTCCAAGCATTGGGGTTCTTCTGCTAGAACATCATCCGAAACAAAGGATTTCGGCAAGACAACTTCTCCTTGAGATTCCTCAACAAGCAACAGCAGATGAGGCCTCGCCTTACAACAATGAGTAGCAGAATACTTCTCGTCACAATTGAAGCACAAGCCTTGTTCTCGGCGGCTTTGCAATTCTGCTGGTGTAAGGCGCTTAATAGGAAAACGCCTGGTAATCGGAGAGGAGATTACTGGTGAGGACATGTTTGGAGAGGAAGAATTAGGCCCAGAATGAGGACTAGGTGTGGGCAATAAGGGTTGGGTCCTGATAAATGCGGGTCGGGCAGGGTCTTTTTCAGCAATTAATTGTTGCTCATGAATATGGGCTAAGTCAATTACCTGGTCCAAATGAGTAGGCTTATGGGCCTTAACTGAAGCAAGAATATCGGGCTGCAGGCTCGAAAGGAAACACTCCACAAGGTATTCTTCAGGCAATGACATCGTTTCATTAAGCAAAGATTCACACCGGCGCTGAAAATCTGCCACCGTAGTAGTTTGCAACATCTTAGGGAGACGATCGACGGGAGATAAAATATGGCGCTAACGAAAATGACACAACAATTTATCAGTGAAACTGGCCCAATCGCTAAGTTGCTTATTTCGATAAAGCCACCGGTACCATTCCAGCGCCTCACCGTCAAGGTAGAAAGAAGCCATAGTTAACTTATGCTCTGCCACAATACTGTAAAAGTCGAAGTACCGCTTAGCTTGGAAAATCCAAGCCTCTGGGTGAGCGCCATTAAAACGACCAAACTCAACTAGTGCTGGTTTATGGCGAAGAGCAGAAGGGCCACCTGTATGAGCAACAGCGATATCGAGCGGCACCGTCGAACCAGCGGACTGGGAAGCTTCGAGCATCGGCAAGCGAGCAGTGATGTTAGCTACCTACGCAGCCAAATCCTGAAGAACTAATGCCTGGCTCGCCATGGCAGATCGGAGATCGGAATCGGAGGAGTCAGACGATGTAGCAGCGTTCCGTCGGAAGCCTTAAGTTTCGAATCAGTTGTCATCGTAGATGAAGGGAATGAAAGCACCAATGGAACAGTAAGGATACAAAGCAAATTGAACTTTATTGATAGAGTAAAATTAAAACGATTACAATGGGAATTAACAACTGAAACAGAAAGGAAAAACAACTGGAAACACTTGGGATAAGAAGGAGATGAGAATAGTGGAAGAATTGCAGAGATGAGAATTCAGAAAGAGTCTACTCATTGCCTACTATTTTCTTCTGATCTCTGCATATTTAAACTATCCTAACCTGCCGAGCCGTTCACGTAATCAGCCAATACGCACAACAAAATCTGTTAGCTTCGTTGGCGTTTTCCTCACCCGTAAACTTCTTCTCAAAGTTTTGCTTTGTCCTTCCACGTTGGCATCCGTCTCAATATACATGTCAGCTTCCTCAATTTCCACCTCAGCATCTGGGCTCATAACAGTGGTCCGGCCCTTCTGCGTATAGCCGGAGCAATTTTCATCCTTCCCCTTTTTGGGAAGTAAGTACAACTTTTTTTGCACAGAGTACGAAACACGTGAAGCATGGCTCGACGTCTCAATGATCACATCAAATTATGCCAATTTTCGGTTTCTGAATTTTCTCCCGCTTTCACAAAGTACAATTTTTTTGCATCCGTATACCATCACGTGGCGCGGCCTGGCAGATGAAAGTGCTCTGGCCCAGGGCTCTCACATACTTTTTTCTAGGATAGGAGCTTGATCAAAGACTCAAACTGGATCATTTTTCATTTTCCTTTTGGGGGGAGTTGAGGGGAATATACGTGCACTTTGGTTCCGTCTTCTCGAAAGACCCAAATTACAGAATTTCCGTACTGCATTTTGTCTGTTTGTTATTTTTTATAAGCTTTTTCTCAACTGTATTTAGTTTGAACAATTCATTAGTTACTATTGGGTAATACTAATTATGTAATAAATATGTGACATTAAAGTCCAAATTAAGGATGTACTTCTGTCAACAGCAGTTCAAAGGGATATGATCAATGATACTTGCTTGCCTTTACCAATGATTCAGTACAAATGCGATGACACTAGATGTGCTTCCTGTATTATATATGATTTGATGCTTTTATGATGTGATGTTGAATCATGTTATTTGATTTAATCTTTATGCAACTGTGTTTACTTTGCAGATCATACGTGCATAGACTGTGATACCTGTCGATGGATGGCTTCGGTAACCAAATTTTCTGTTTAAGTTATATGTATGAATAGACCAAGATACTTGTCAATGATTGCTCCCGTATGATCCCTGTTTCATGGGGCTTGAATAGATGATATAACACTGCACATTACCACTCAAAATTGAGCATGAAATTAATTATCGGTGATTCTATAACAAGGTAGTGCTCTGTTTTAGCATTTTCATTTGGAGTGGAGGAGAGGGAAGTTGTATACTGTATAGTATGGTGGAAACTGGAGTAACTCCTGATCTGTTTTTAATCACTGTTGTTTACTCTTACTGCTGAAATAAGTAGGGAGCTATCGCCCTTTTGTCTTAACAACTAGGTTACCACAGAAAGGATTTCTGCAGTTGGTGTAAACTTGTGAATGGATATTTTGTTCAGGTAGTAGATAGCCTTAGATTAGCTGTAATGCTTAAATAGTTGAAGAAGAATCTGTAACAATGTGTTATTTATAAGAGAGGAGACTAAAGGAAAGCTGGAAAACATGTTAAGTGCACCAATTGGAATGAAAGTGACGTATTAAATTGGTTAAGGGATGGCAACACCAAATTTACTTCATCGCACGACAAATTCGTAAAGGAGGTAAGTTTTGGTGATAGGATACATTAAAACGGGCGAAAGTTGGACAAGATTAGAACGGGTTGAGAGTAGTCATCCAATGCTATTTGATTTTTACGGAAAATGAGAGGGGGAGACCTAATTTGGATAATAATTATTTTTTGGGGAACCACTTTGGCCGAGAATGATATGTAGAGACACTTTTAGTAAGATGACTTGAGCAAGTAGTCAAGAACTGTTCCGGAGATATGATTCATGGGGCAGATGATTTTACTCTTGTTCCATCACTGGTAGGTGTACTTGGAAATTTTCCGATATGTTGGACTTGTTGAATGTGATGAGTCTGTAGTGTAAAACAAGTCCAGATTCTTGTAATTCCCTAACAGTACTAGATAGTACTGTATATCAATAAAATCTTACCTTATAAAAAAAAGGTGTACCTGGAAATTTTCATCAGACTGGTACTTTTGGGAACACTTTAGTTCTTCATTCAGGTAAATGAAGAAAGGAGGTGCAACGGATGCCAAGGATATACAACTAGTTATCCTAGTAGGGGTTGTATATAAATCATAGCAAAGGCTCTAGCAATGAGAATTAAAAGCGTTATGAATAAGCTCTGGGACATCTTGCTAAATACTTCTGTAGACGGGTAACAAACCCTTGTTGCAAGTCCTTTTGCGAATGATTTTGTAATCTAGATTGAGGATCAGAGAACCAGTTTGTTAGTGGGATGTAGCAAAGGTTTTACGTTCATGTGAAATAAAACTTTTTTGTTTGACGTATTTGTGGTAGTAAATCTTTGGAGAATGTTTTACCAACTAGTTCGCACTGGGTATGGACAAGATAATTGCAGTGTCAGAGATCCCCAAAAAAGAAGATTTTCAGTTGTCATGTCATATATATATATATCCTTGAGAAGACATTTGAAGCACCGGAAGCCTCATGAGGCTGAATGCCTCCTGTTGCGGTTGTATAATAATGAGCAGTTCGGTAAGCAAACAGTATGCTATGGCAAGTGTCATCCTCCAAATACTTTTTACTGAGTTCTTATTGCAAGTGTCTACACAGGGTTGGAGAACCTATAATCTGTATGGAGATCTAGTCTCCAAAAGAAGGTAGCATTCTTATCTCAGTGTGACATCTGGAGCTATCTTGACAACAGATATCTTAAGGAGGATAGGATGCTTTATTATTGGTGATGTCTGTGCAAAAAGCATGGAAGGATTTGAACTACCTATTTTTACAATGATTTTACGCTGCTGAGTTATGGCTGTTGATCTATGCTATAGTCAAGATTTAATAGGTGCTCTTGAGCTTGTGGCAGAGATGCTGGAAAGTTGGAGGTTTAGCTTAATTGGAAAATTAAGAAAAATAAGCTGTGGAAACCCCTATTTTTGGATATTCTGGAAAGTAAAAACAGTAGAACTTTGATTGGATTGAGAGACCGAAAACGAGGGTCAAGAGCTTACTTTTATTAATTAGTATTCTGGTGCAATATGGAAATACCATACGTGTAGATTGTTGGCTAAATTATTGGAGGCCTGATATATTTTTCTACAACATTTTGTAAAAACACCACCACCTTGGTCTAGCATTAACGGATTCTTTGTATTTATAAACATATTAATGTGTTTATTGGTGTATTTAGATCATAAAGACTTAGATTTTGTCCTATTGTATTTGGGTTTCATCCCTCTTGGATGTGTTTTTCAAAAACTGCTGTCATTGAAAACTAATTTGGAACTGATAATTGCTTTATTTCTTGTACTTTAGGAGAACTTTACACGAGTTGATGACATGTCAGCAGTCTTTAAACAGCCCAGCTGTGAAGAAGAACGACTGAGAGCTCTTCAGGTACTCTATTTGGTATTTTCATCTATCATCTGATTCTCGATTGGAAAATAATATTAGCGATAATCATTGTGGAAAAAGAACTTTAGAACAAAAAAGACATTCCTAAAAAATATGCATAGCAATTCTAACTTCTAAGTTGATATGCTTTTAGCTTGGAGAAACTTTATTTGATACTCTTATCTAATCTTAGTTCCAGTTACTTTAAACATGGATCTAACTTTCTATTTGGATTGATGATGCTTCAAGGCCTTAATATCATGCCCAACAAATTCAATCCATACAGAGAAGCCTGCCCGTGATATTTTAGAAGTTCAGAAGACTTTTCCAATTCCAATAGATGAGCATACAATGCCGGTAGATCCGTTCTCCTTTTGTAGTTATCTTGTGTATTTATTTCTCACTAAACAGTTGAGATAATTGAAGGAGTCTGTCAACAGATATATATTTGATCCAAACAAACTGTAGATTAACTAATGCTGCTTTGTTCATCCTCATCATCATCTTCATGGCAGAAACTAAATGAAATCCAGTTAAAGGCTGGATTTCGTTTGACGTATGCTCTCATTTTACTAGTCCATAACTCCTTGAATATGCAGATTACGTTGTTTCAGTGGCACAAAAAAACCCTTAGGTGAACAATCCCTTAATTCTTAGCACAAGTCAAACTCGTGGTTAAAGATTGACCCAAACAGTTAACTCTGGTCAGCGGGTCAGAATTGACTCTTGTGCATTGCCCTATAGGACGGGAAGGCCTTTGTGCTTTGCTGTGTGCCGCGCGCACTGATTTTCTGACAGGACAGCTTTTAGTAAAATGTTCATACTTCCTCCGTTCCAATTTATGAGAACCTGTTTGACTGAGCACGGAGTTTAAGAAAAAAATGAAGACTTTTAGAATTTGTGGTCCTAAACAAGTCAAAAAGGGGCCCAGAGTATTTGTATGGTTATAAAAGCTTCTCATTAAGAGTAGAATTGTAAGTTTAAGCTAAATTGTTTCCAAATTTAGAAAGGGGCCATTCTTTTTGGAACGGACCAAAAAGGAAATAGGTTCACATAAACTGGAACGGAGGGAGTAATTTTTTGTAGGAATGTCGGAATGACAAACTGTTTGAAGTTTTGGAAACTAGACTTCAAGAGCTTTAATTTAATATATTACACCACCCACAACTTAATCTACATTGGGAGATATGATCGTTTGAAGTTATAACATGTGCGGCTATGATTGTCTTATTCCCTCAAACGCTTCCAACTTGCTCCCATGATACTGAAACCCACCCGAGTCCCCGTGATTACCAACCAAAACATTCCAACAAGTCCCAAAACTCATTTCGAAGTTTTTGAAAGTATCGGATGTCCCTGATAAAATTGGAATGATACAGAGAAGATTAGCATGGCCCCTGCGCAAGGATGACACGCACAAATCGAGAAATGGTTCAAATTTGATGATTCAAAAAAAAAAAAATCATAATGGGACTCATTTACTAAAAATGAAGAATCGGGTTATTACAGTTTCTTTTTAGATCACATCATTCTGCAAGTCTTCTGATATATTTATTGAGAAGTTTTAGCATTCTTGAGTGATGAAATGTATAATTAGTTCTTAATGCCATTTCTCTTTTCCTATCTGGCGCTCACAGATGTGTAGAACTTGCAACATCACCTATTTCCTGAAACTTGTGTCTGTCTTATCCAAGTGTTTTCTACTACTTTCAGGGTGTTTACCACTGTGGTTATCATTCTGAAAAGTCGTTTGGAGCTGCTTCTTATTTGATTGTTCGTGCTGAAGGAAATATTCTTGTTGACAGGTATTTTAGCATTCATACTTCATGAGAGCTTGTTGGCTTTACAATAAACAAAATACGGGGTGGCTGAAGAGAACTAATTTAGTAAGTAGGGGAATGTTATCTCTTATCATTACTGGGAAACAATATAAGGAAGTTGGAGAGTTGGGAATTGCTGGATATTAGAATTTCGAACGTTGATGCATATGAACTTAGTATTGACAGGTGCATAACTAAATATTTGCAGTCCAAGGTACACAGAAAGATTGGCAAATAATCTTAAAATGTTAGGTGGAGCTCGTTACATGTTCCTTACACACAGGTATGGTGATATCGTTTTACATCATCTTGTTCAGTCCTAGCATGCACTAATTATTATTTTGTTACCAGGGATGATGTAGCAGATCATGAGAGATGGTCAAATCACTTAGGCTGTGAGCGGATTCTTCATTCACTGGAGGTAATATACTCAAACTGTTGACCTTTTAGTGAGACTGATCATTTAAATGATTAATATAGAACTCAATTCTGAGGCTCAACAAATGTCTGTCTCCATCAATCTACAATCTATAAGGTAGAGATTTGGACCTGAATTCCTTTTTAATTGGCTCTTGTATTCCTCATCTATACTCTTGTTCATTGGTTCTTATATTCCTCAATCCTGATGATGGTCTTTTATCAACTTGAAAGAACAATGTCGATCAATAAGGGGTATACCTAGAGTCTGCCTGCTCACCCCCAAGTCTTTGCTAAAGCTCCAACGCCTTTGACTTTGTAACCTTTGGTAAAGTGTGTGGGGCTGGTGGCTGCTGTCCCGTTGCAAGCTCAGTTCAGCCTGTTGACTCTATCCGCTGCAAAATATAAGAAAATTAAGCCACATCCAGTAGCTTTGCTCAATGCGTCCAGTGTGCGCTGGCAAACTGACTTAAGTAAAACTCCGACAGTGCATTTACTGGTACAGTCTAGTCGTCTCTCTGTTAATGAAAGCTAGTTGAGACATGTAAGACCCAAGAAAATCAAATAGTTCTCTCCAAAGAGCTCGGCTGAAATATGGTGCCTTGTCGTTGACAAGGTGCGTTGGTAGCCCTCAATATTTCACCACATGATTAAAGAAAATCTCGGCTGCTTCACTTGTGTTGTGCCAAGGCGATGCCAGTACAAATGTCACATACTTGGATAATTGGTCAACCACCATCATGATTGTGTCGAACTCTTCGGACTTTCCCATGGCTTTTCGGAAATTGGCAATGGTTCTAAGTCTTTCAGGTGCTTGATTCTGAATCTTATCTTGCTGGCACACTAAGCAAGTCCGCACATAGCATTCTGTATGATCGCTTGTGGCTGATAATAATCTGAGTCTAGTTTTTGACCAGGAGCAGGATGACCCGCCCATAAGATGTCATGACATTCCTTCATTAGCCTTCTTTGAAGCACATATATCCATCATGCCGCAATAAGCAATAGGCCGTCTTTACCTAAAACGCCTTGTCTTGCCTAGGGCGGCCAAGTCTATAAGCTGCTTTGGCTTGGTGTGTCCTGCTGCCTGTCCATCTTACCGCAATAAGCAATAGGCCATCTTTACCCAAGAATGCATTGCTTTGCCATAGTGTATCCTGCTGCCTGCCTACCCTGATGGCATCAAGTTTGCACTTCTAGCTGTGATGTTGGCTGCTTTGCCTTATAAATAAGTGTGTTCTCTTCTGGGCTTATACTCCAGCACATAGTTGAAATCTAGAAAGTTCTGGCATGGAGCTTACTTTGGTGTAAGCTTCTTTTGTGTCTGAAAAGCAGCTCGTGACAACATTATCCATCTTGACGACAAAATACCCGAGCAAATAATGTTGCCCTGTACGGAAGCAATGCACAATGTGGTCATCTCCTTACGCTATTATTTGTGATGAGAAGTGATTCATACTGAAGTCACTGTGCTTCATGAGTTGTTATCTCCTTGGCTTTAGGGAATGCTTTGTATCACTTGTGATGCGTATAGGGAGTTATTTCTCTTTGCAATATGTAATTGCTTCTCTTTAAATGGCACTCGTAAACAATGGTTTTTATATCTCTTATAAGATGCATTTACAATCCTAGACAATGATATTGACATCAATATATTTCAGGTAGATCATTCAACTACTGCCATAGAGATTAAGCTGGAGGGAAGTGGACCATGGAGCCTTGGTGACGACATCGCACTTGTACATACACCTGGACATACAAAAGTGTGTAAATTGTTCTTTGTACCTGCTTAATCAACGTAGAATTCATTGTTTATCCAATTAGTTTAGGGATAAATATAGTTTTGATTTCAAAATTTTATCAGTGGCTGATGATTCTTTCTTGTTATCTTCGTGAATTCATGGATCAAAGTCTTAGTTGACCAATTCTTAAACTACGTACAGTTCACTTGTTTATCAGTTTAGTCTATTTCAACATTATACGCTTAATGATTCTTTCTAGTTATCTTTGCAAATTCATGGTTCAGACTTTTAGATTACCAATTCTAACACCGTTTTGTGTTTGTCATAATGGTAGGGGTCAGTATGCTTGCTCTACAAACCATTTAAAGTGCTTTTTACTGGAGACCACTTTGCAATGGGTGAATTTGGCTGGTCCATTTTTGAGAGATACAACAAGCTTTCAGGTGCACGTTCATGGTATCTTTATTATGTTATTATGTTATATTAGCTGTGATGACAATCAAATGGCTAGTGGATTGTAGGGTGAAGATTTCCCCTGAATAGAGTTAATGTTGGAGGAGCATATTCCATGAGGGGAAGGGGGAAGAAAAGATACCTTTACAGTGGACTCAAGAAAACTGAGAAAAATGTTGTAGTGGATTAGTCAATCCATATATCAGCAAAAGGGAATTGGGATTGCTTCCAAGTATTGGCTGTTCACGATCGCAAGCACTATTGCAGCCTGCTTTAGCTTTAGCAGTGGACCTGAAATAAATCATTTGGGGAAGAAGATATAGCTCTTCTCTAAGTGCCTTGCTAAGTATATCTTATTCAGCAAGTTAGCATATATGCCCTCTCCAAATGAATCTGAAAAGATTATCTTGATGGACAATTACTGTTTGGACAAACTTAGATCTAGGAATCTCGACTCTGGATAAGTAGTGGACAGATGTCAAGCTGGGGTAACTGGTAACCTGCTCCATGGTCATTGACTAATTGGAGGTGGGCATAATGTGATTTCAGTTATACTCTTAAAAGATGTAAAGGGGGGAGATATGATTCGTAAAGGGGGGAGACATGATTCTTTCATGGCTCTCATTGTGATGCATTGTTGAGCATTTATGGGGTGAGATGGGGGCCTCTTTTGGGGGTTCGGTTCAACCCATTTTTTATTGATGAGAGCATGGAACTATTTTTGTCTGCGAAAGAGGTGTGTAGGGTCGTAAATGTGAAATATGTTTGGAGGTGGAACTTTGGCCATTTCTGCGATGTTTTATCTTTAGGTTTCTTGCTTCCTAGTAATGTTTCTTTTGCACGGGATTTGATATCTTATCTTCCATTACTTTTGCAGTTCCAAAGCAATTGAACAGTGTCAAGTTGATGCTTGAGTTGGATTTTGAATGGATATTGCCAGGTGAGTAATGCTTTTTGTACAGAAGCTTGACCTGTTGGTACATTTATAAACTAAATCAAGAGCTAAATGAGGCGACAGCGCGTGGAAAACCAACAGGATACAAGGAACATATTAGCAGCAACTAATGGTTATCAGTAGGGGTGGCAAATGGGCGAGTTGGGCTGAATTTTGGCGGGTCAAAATGGGTTGAGTCATTAAATGGGTCATTACCCAACCCAACCCAAAGTATACTTGGGCTAAGATGGGTTGGGTCAAGATGGGCTAAACAATGGGTCATAGCCCAACCCGCCCAACTTGACCCATGTTTTAGAACCACGCTCCATCTTGCATAAACAAAGCCTTTTACCTTTTATCTATGTATGTTCGCTACTTTCTTAGCTTCCTCATCCAGCCGTATTAGCTCATCAACTCGCCTTAGCGCACGTTCACTATATAGGTGCGGACTTGCGTACGGTATCACTTGCCTAACAGCCTGGAGGGAAGAATCCGAGGGTAGCCTGATGATTAAGGGACAGGGACACTGAATTTATTCATTCCATGCACGACGATGAATTGCTATATATCTAATTTTAAATTTTTAGCTCAGGAACACATGGATTAATCTTATACTCAACTATTTACGAGCTTTTATAACTTTCTAAAATTAAATAATTATTTAAAAGTGTAAAAGAAAGAAGAAGAAAAAGCAAAGAAAATAGCAGTTGAAAAAAAAAAAGACAATGTTTCAGAAAATCTTTTGAAGAAATTTTTTGTGCAAGATAAAGGTTTGGCTAGTTGAATTTTTTTGTCGTAATGTTGGAATTGTTTTTAGAAAAGAGCCTTCGGGCGACATGAAATTTTCAGAAAACTTTGTCGATTTCTTTTAGAGAAAAACAACCCAGACAATTTTCTTTACAAACATTGATTTATATATATTTACGTAGTTATTATTTTTTCTCTCTTTACAATGTAACACAAGAAGTCCTACTCCCCACTTAAGAAGTACTCCCTCATTTCCAAAAAATATTATTAATATTTTGAGAATCAAAATATATTTTTTTAAATACAAATTAGTATTTAATGTTTGTAAATTGAAAAATATTTTTTATGTTATTTCTAAATAAGTAATTTCACCACAATTCAATAAAATTATCATATTTACATCAAAACTTAAAAACCTTGATTCTCATTTTTAAACTTAGATACATGACTAATGATGGGGCAACTAAGTAAATTTTTAGATAAGCCTTCAGTTGGGTTGAGATCCCTTTGTTTTGGGTGAGTTCATAGGTTGTATTTGGGCTACTTCTTGGGTTAGAATGAGCTATAAAAAAGAAAAAATGTGATTGTATAGCCGCCATAAAAATGATAGTCGAAAAATGTATAAAGTTTGTATATATATATATATATATATATATATATACAAATTATACAAATTATATACACTTCGGCGTACCAAATGTAAATAGTTTCTGGCGCGGGCTAAAAGTGATAATACAACAACATACCCAGTAAAATCCCACTAGTGGGGTCTGGGGAGAGTAGAGTGTACGCAGACCTTACCCCTAAACCGAAAGGGCAAGAGAGGCCTGTTTCCAAGAGACTCTGCTCAACAGGAAAAGGCCAATATATCAGAAGAGAAATAAGAGAAAAGACATGTAACAATAAAGATACCAGAAAGAAAATAGCCACTAACAAATAAGTGAAAGGACAATAACACAAAACACGAATGTGAATACAAACAAAGACCGCTAACAAAACCTACGAAACTCTAACAGCACTACCCGGGTACAAAGAGGGAAGAACTCTCGACTACCCCCTAGCTACCACCCTAAATGCTCGACCTTCCACATGTTCCTATCAAGAGCCTTTTGTCCTCGGAAATCTGAAGTCGCGCCATGTCCTGCCTATCACCTCGCCCCATACTTCCTAGGCCGCCCTCTGCCTCTTCTCGCACCTGCCAAAGTCAACCGCTCACACCTCCTAACCGGTGCATCTAGGCTTCTCCTCCACACGTGTCCGAACCATCTAAGACGCGCTTCCCGCATCTTGTCGTCCACGGGGCCACGCCCAACCCTCTCCCGAATATCTTCATTCTGAATTTTATCCAGCCTAGTATGCCCACACATCCATCTCAACATCCTCATTTTTGCTACTTTCAACTTCTGGATATGTGAATTCTTGACTGGCCAACACTCAGCTCCATACAACATGGCCGGTCTAACCACCGCTTTATAGAACTTACCTTTGAGTTTCGGTGGCACATTCTTGTCACACAGGACTCCAGACGCTACCCTCCATTTCATCCACCCCACTCCTATACGGTGCGTAACATCCCCATCGATCTCCCCATCTCCCCGGATAATTGACTCTAAGTACTTAAAACTTTCTCTCTTTAGGATGACCTGTGAGTCAAGCCTAACTTCCACATCCGCTTCCCCCGTCACGTTGCTGAACTTACATTCCATATATTCTGTCTTAGTCCTACTCAACTTGGAACCTTTAAACTCTAGAGTCTGCCTCCATACCTCCAGTCTCCTATTTACGCCGCCTCGCGTCTCATCAATCAGAACTATATCATCAGCGAACAACATACACCATGGCACCTCTCCTTGGATATGGTGTGTCAGTGCGTCCATCGCCAAAGCAAATAAGAACGGGCTGAGCGCGCAGATCCTTGGTGTAATCCCATAGCCACCTGAAAAGCCTCTGAGTCACCTGCCACAGTCCTAACCCGAGTCATAGCTCCATCATACATATCCTTTATCGCCCTAATGTAAGCCACCGGCACACCTTTCACCTCCAGACATCTGCAAAGGACGTCCCTAGGGACCTTGTCATATGCCTTCTCTAGGTTAATAAACACCATATGCAAATCCCTCTTCCTATCCCTGTATAGTTCCACCAACCTCCTGATAAGGTGGATAGCTTTCGTAGTAGAACGGCCCGGCATGAACCCGAAACTGGTTTTCCGATATAGACACCGCCCTCCTTATCCTCATTTCCACTACCCTCTCCCAGACTTTCATGGTATGACTTAGTAACTTGATACCCCTATAGTTGTTACAATTCTGGATATCCCCTTTGTTCTTGTACACCGGAACCATTGTACTCCACCGCCACTCATCAGGCATCCTCTTTATCTTGAAGATAACATTAAACAGCCTAGTCTGCCACTCCAAGCCTGCCCTACCCGCATATCTCCAAAACTCTACTGGAATCTCGTCAGGTCCGGTTGCTTTGCCTCGACTCATCTTACCCATCACACCCACGACCTCCTCAACCTTAATGCGCCTACAATACCTAAAGTCTCGGTGACTCTCGGAGTGCCCCAATTTCCCTAACACGATGTTTCCATCCCCCTCTTCATTCAGAAGTTTATGAAAGTACGATTGCCATCTTTGCCTAATCTGGGCCTCTTCCATCAATACTCGACCGTCCTCGTCTTTGATACACCTCACTTGATCCAGATCGCGAGCCTTCTTCTCTCTCGCTTTGGCCAATCGAAATAACTTCTTATCCCCACCTTTGCCCCTCAGTTCCTCATAAAGCCGACCAAAAGCAGCAGTCTTAGCCTCTGTGACTGCCATTTTCGCCTCCTTCCTAGCCTCCTTATATCTTTCTCTGTTCGCTCTCCTTTGATCCTCGTCGGTGCTCTCTACTAACTTAATGTACGCCTCTTTCTTGGCTTCTACTTTACCTTGGACCACGTCATTCCACCACCAGACGCCTTGGTGCCCGCCATCTAAAAGTGATAATACCCCTATAAAAAATGATACGTTAACTTGGGCACAACAAGTTTACCCATGAGCTAAAATGTTTGCAGCCCAACCCATTTATCTCTGGGCGGGTTGGGCGGGTTGGATGGGTTTTGGCTCAAATTGCCACCCCTAGTTATCAGCATGTGCAAAGGTTCAACTTTGTAAACCATTTCTATCAATGGTTTGGGCTTTGAGAAGTCTATACATGTGTTGTGTTTGACGCTGATGCGACTTTCCCTTGTCTTCAGTTAACACACCGTATATCTTTCACCATTTTTTTTATTTTAATATCTTACCTTGAAGATTGCACCGGGGGTGGGCTTCAACTGGAAATATGTAGCAAATTCCTTCTCCTTCCTCTTTCCCCTCCCAAGAAAAGCTATCCTAACAGTTTAATGTTGTTCTATCTGGCTGCATCACCCGCCTCTTGTACCTTCAATGATATTTCTGCTTGTATTTTAGTTCTTAAAACCATCTTAAGCTTCACGTACTATTGTGCTGCTAGTGCAGAAATGTGTTTGCTTCTAGTTTTATTGTTTTGGTATTGCAGTTAAGGGTGTTAATTGGTCGGGTTTGGTAGATCAAAAGATTTGAACTAATAAAAGAAGTCATGAATTAACTGATCAAACTTGGACTAAAATGGTTTTAGTCCAGATGGATAATTACGACTCATAACCAAATCTGTCGTACTTTAAGTTTGGACTAGTAACAATTTTCTGGGTAAAATTGGCACTCTTAGGGTGTCAAAGGACGGGTCAAAATTAGTTGAGGTTTATGATCTCATGCATCCGAAATTCACTTGCATCTAGTTGGTTGGATCAAGATATTTGAGCAATTTAGTGTTCTCTTGTTCTTCAGGCCATGGTAGGAGAACAAAATTTAGCGACGCTGAGGAGAAGAATTCAAGCATAAGAGCTTTCCTAGAAACAAAAATGCAGCTGTCATGAGTCCTGTCGCCGTTTCCTGTTGATAGGATTTTGTAGATAAACAGTTGGTTCATGTATCCAGTTCTTGTAATAATGTAAGTTCAGGTATGGTTGTCTTGGAATTTGTGGACCACAAATAAGCTTTTGGCCTAGCAGCTTTGCTTATGAATTTTCATGTAATGATGTAATGTATGATAATCTTCAGAAGAAAATGACTTGAGAATTTGCTCAATATTCGTTCTTTATGGTTCGAGTATTGGCAGGAAGCATTAGATGTTCCAAGCATGACACGCTTTGTTCTTCTAATGGTTTGCCATTGGCTCAGGCCTGTTTGTGTACAACTCTATTCATTCCTTACCAAAATTATAAGGAAGATTATTTTGTGAAAGGTAGAGTAGGAATTGTACATCTTTTTATAAAAAGAAGCATTGGAAGGGAGGAAAAATGGATGGAGTTGGGGAGAGAGAGAAGGAAGTGGCTACTGCTTCCAAAAAGGAAAAAAAAAAAAGAAAAAAAAAAAAAAAAAAAAAAGAGGAAAAATGCCCACAATGCGAATGGCAAATTGTTTTCGTCAATCACTTATGGAGATGCGGCTCAATATAAAAAGACTACAAGATGCTTATATAAAGATGGAAATACAATCTATATTATATTAAAAGGAGGGTACCGAAACATCTATATCTATATATTTATATTATTATAAAAATATGAATAATTTATGCTAAATGTTGAACGACTAAAATGCCTTTGAAATATTGATCGGCTTTTATACCCTTGTATATTTATATAATTTAAGGATGTAATTGTTAAATTATTCTAAATTCTTTTCCAATCGGAATTAGAATTGTAACATCAAAAGCTTCACCATGATACAAATTTGCGATAAATTCTTATACCAATCAAGTATATCCTACTTACCGTTGAAGTTTTAAAACCTTACCAATTCCTGATATTCTCATAAGTGTTAACCACGTCCTTTTTTAAAAAAATTAATAATTTAGAACTGAATTTTTTTGAAGTCTACAAGTTTCTTATTATATTCTTATAAAATCAGATCTAACGAGAAACAAATTATGTTGCGTTCGCAGTCCGCTGTGATCGCAATTCCGGTGATCACATTCAATTCATGGACGATAAGTAGAAAAGAAATCGGCTTTTGCATATTTGGTTAGAACTAAGAAAGTGTGGGACTCCATCTTCCAACACATCTAGCAAGGTAAAATTTCTTCACATAACAAGTATATGCAATCGCTTGTGCGATCACAAGGTGCTGGACCAAGATGATCAAAAGATGTTTCTCTTCCCAGTTGAAGCTATTGGAGCCAAAAATATTTGTGGGATTGTGAGTGGATAATTAGCGTGCTCTTTTTTCTTTACAAGTTTCCTATGTGAAATAGAACTTACTAGCAACTTATTTGCAATCACTTCCATTCTTTTTTGCTATTTTGATCTCCATGTTGATGCATGGTTTTCTCTCTAAGTTAGATTACTCCAAGTCACTCTGGTAACTAAAAATGTTGCTTCCTATGATGAATGTTGAGGCTTATTGAAAAAAATATTTTGGCCCAGATATATTAACTGTTAAGTCACTATTGCTACCTATTTTTTGTACGTGGATGTGAAAGATTAAGATGAATGATTCTTGGACAGAAAGTACGATCAATGGAGGATTTGATATGGGTTATAGGGCCATTTGTTTGTACTTGATGATGAGGCTTAACTTCTAAATTTAAATTCTTTACGGCGTTAGTACCTTGTTGGGGGAGTTATTCGATCTCATTATTTCTACAACATCAGATGAATAACAAATTAATAAATCACAGGACATGATTTTTATACTACAAAATCCAATAACATGTAGAAGAACTGTATTTGCACTAATCTTTATTTGTCTTCCACACTAGAAATCTTTGGGAAAAGTCTGGCAATCCTATTACTTTTTTATTTACATAAAAAAAAAGTTCTGTGGAGATGGAACGGGATTCAATTAAAGAATAATATTGGTTAATTTGAAATATTAGGTAATCATATTTTGGCTCCAATAAGGCAAGAACATTTTCCTTTTTATACATACCAATAGCAAACTTTGACAAAATATGAAGTGAAATATCATGTGGAGATCTTTTGACAATGATCTTACGAAAATATTTAAACAATTTAACACATATGTAGATTAGTGGCTTCTTTTAACCGTAACCATAAAGTACAAATATACTTATGATGCGTTTTTGTAACGATCCGGCCAGTCATTTCGAGAGTTGTAGCCACGTTCTCCCATTTTCTGCTCCATATATGGTGTATAGCTGTTATATGACTTACCGGGTTAGTTGGTTCAGGTCCGGAAGGATTTCGGAATGATTTGAGACACTTAGTCTCATAATGGAAAGCTTAAGTTGGAATGGTTGACCGAATGTTGACTTATGTGTAAACTACTTCGGAATGATTTTTTGATGGTTCCTTTAGCTCCGTTGGGTGATTCTTGACTTAGGAGCGTGTTCGGATTGTGATTTGGAGGTCCATATTGGAAGTAGGCTTGAAATGGCGAAAGTTAAATTTTTGGGAAGTTTGACCGGGAGTGGACTTTTTGATATCAGGGCCGGATTCTGATTCCGAAAGTTGGAATAAGTTTATGGTGTCATTTGTGAATTATGTGCAAAATTTGGGGTCAATCCGATGCGATTTGATAGGTTTCGGCGTCGGTCGTAGCATTTGGAAGTTTCAAAGTTCATTAGGCTTGAATCTATGTGCGATTCGTATTTTTGATGTTGTTTGAGGTGTTTTGAGAGTTCGACTAAGTTCATATGATGTTTCAAGACTTGTTGACATATTTGGTCGTAGTCCCCGGAGCCTCGAGTTGATTTCGGGCTGTTAACAGACCAAGGTTTGAAGTTGAAGAATTTTTGAAGTTGGCAGCTACCGGTGTAATCGCATCTGCGGAGTGGGCACCGCAGATGCGAGCTCGCAGAAGAGAGAAAGGAGCCGTAGAAGCGGGTAAGAAGGAGGTGAGCAGAGTTCGCATGTGCGAGGTCATTTTCTCCACCTGCGTGGTCGCAGATGCGGCGCAGGAGCCGAAGTCTCGCAGGTGCGATGGTGAATTCCGCACCTGCGATTGCGCATATGTAGGGCACGGGTCGCAGAAGGGAGGCACGTTGGGTAAGTGAATTCCGCAGAAGCGGAGGTTTAACTGCAGAAGCAGGGCCGCAAGTACGGATAGTTGGCCGCAGATGCGAAAAGCCTGGCAGTGTTTTTATAATCGAGTGTTCCGGGATTTTTCACCATTTGTAACAATTCAAGCTTGGTCTAAGATGATTTTGCGAGGGTTTTCGAGGGGATTCTTGAGGTAAGCCTCTTGTGTTCATTTTTATTCAATAAACTTGGTTCCTCATTGATTTTCCCACCTAATTGGTGTGTTTTTAAGGTGTAAATTGGGGGTTTGAGGCTAGGGAGTTGGACAGTTGATTTTGGGGGCTTGAGTGGCGATTTGGTGTCGGATTTTGAAGAATTTGGTATGGCTAGACTCGTGATTTAATGGGCTTTCGGGTTTTGTGACTTTTGTTGGATTTAGAGACGTGGGCCCGGGGGGCCCGACTTTTAGCCGAGTTTGGATTTTTGATTTATAATCTCGTATTTTCTTATGGAAGATTCCTTTAGTCTGTGTTGATTGTATCGTATTATTTGTGGTTAGATTCGAGGCATCTGGAGGCCGATTCCCGAGACAAAGGCGTATTGGGGTAGATTTTTGCTCGAATTAAGGTAAGTAACTGTTCTAAATCTGGTTCTAAGGGTATGAAACCCCAGATTCGGTGTTCTGTGATTGGTTTGGAGGTGACGCACATGCTAGGTCGAGGGCGTGTGGGCGTACACCGTAGGAATTATTACTTGGTGCATTCCATGAAAACTGTGAAGTTGAATAACTTGTTGTTAGATATATCCTCTACATGTGTTATAGAAATTTGACTGCAAACCATGTTAGAAATTATGTTTAGGCTATGTGTTGATACTGTTGGGACCCGCAGAGGTCGTGTACTTGTTGAATTATTTGCTAATTATTGTCTTGTACTCAGTCACCGTTTACTTGTGTATCATATATCAATCTCTTCTTGTTTCTTGTTGATACATTACATCACTTCTGTTTGGGTTGATTTTATGATTTCTGAGAGCCCGAGAGACTAGAGAGGTTAGTGACTGAGTTAGGGCCCGTGTGCCGAGTTGTGAGCGATATATTATATATATATATATATACATATATATATATATATATATATATATATATATATATATATATATATATATATATCTGTGTGTGTGTGTGTATTAGGTTGCACGCCGCAACGAGCCTTAGGGCTGTATATATATGGATCGGGTTGCACGCCGTAACGAGCATGCGGGCTGCACGCCCCAGAGATATAGAGCTTGGGCTGAAGGAGCCCCTCCGGAGTCTGTACACACCCCAGTGAGCGCAGGTACCTATTGAGTACGAGTGTTTAGTGCCGAGTGCTGAGCTATTGAGAAAGATTGAGTGACTGTTGCTCTGAGAGAATGCTCCTGACTTCATTATTGTTGCAGTTAGCTGCCATATATCACTGTCTGGAAGTTTTCTGAAAGATGTTATATTCTGTTTTACTTGAATTTGATATGAGATAACTGATTTTGTCCTAAATTGTCGAACTTGGAAGCATGCCTATTTTCTTATGTTGAAATTATTGAAGTTGAACTATAATTGCAGAGCTCGTCACTAGTTTCAGTTCTTTATTTAGTATTATTACTTACTGAGTTGGTTGTACTCACGCTACACTCTGCACTTCGTGTGCAGATCCGGGTGTTTCTGGACACGGTGGGTGTTGTATACTTTGCACAGTTGATCTTTGGAAACTTTGAGGTAGCTTCTCGGCGTTCACAGTCCTTGTTTCTCCTTCCTTATCTTTCCTTTTAATGTATTTAGTATCAGACTATCTTAGGTAGTGTATTCCAGACTTGTGACATGTAGACGCTCATGTACTCTGTGACACCCCAATTTGGGAGTTTTTTTCCGCGTTGTTTTTGGATCTTTCTATCTTGTTTATGAGGAGTTACTATTTAAACTGCTTTAAAAATTCATTTTTGTTAAACGTTGGGAATATTTTGGAAATGTCGGCTTGCCTAGTACCACGTTAGGCGACATCACGATAGGTCTCACAAGCCATGAGCATGTTTAGTAGAGTCTTGCGGATCGGTACGGAGACATCTGTACTTATCTTCAAGAGGCTGCAGAACCCTTAGGAAACTTCACATTCTTGTATTCTTGTTGTACAGATTTGTTGGTT